TATCTATATGGGGATTATAGGCGGAGCTAGCATAGAGTTTATGAGCTCTATCGTATTTACCGGCTTTCCTTCAAATTTTATATTTATCTTAATAAATTCATTAAATATGTATAGCTTATTAATTTAAAATTAATAACTTAAAAAATTACAATTTCGAACTAATAAGCTTCTCTCCCATTATTAGGAATCAAAATTTGAGATTTCTAGTTCTAGTGAAAATATCACGAATTCTTGCAGCTCCACTACATTCATTGGCAAATGCACGCTTATAATTCTCACCTGTATTACCTTTTGACCTAAACCTTTTTGTCCCCCAACTTGTAATTGATTATCAACAAATTAGTTATAGCATACCATATTTTATGGGAAAAATACTTTTGGTTCTCCAAGTTGACATTCTTTTTAAAAATAATATTATTTTATAGAGCAAAAGTAGACGTAAAGACAACTTTGGCTAAAAACACAATAATAAGTATCTAAAGTCTTCAACTTTATGTTTACTTCTTGAAAATCTATAACAAAACAACAAGAAAACTATACAGTATAATCGCGTAAAAAATACAATAGCATATATATATATATATATNGGTACATAAGAATAACCTATAATTTCACATTGCCTTTAATAGATCAATGAAAACGCTTTAGGCTGGACCAATTTGGACGAACGCATAGCAGCTTTCTTATCAGCTGACTCTCCAAATTCTCAATTCTCTTATTATTATATCAAAAGTGTAAAGTTTGTTCCTTAAAATCCGATCGATTGGTCGAATCTTGAGAAGATACCAAGAACTTATCCGACCCTTTTTCCCACTATAATAACAATATTGTTATGAAATAAAAGCAATTTAGTAAAACATGAACAAGAAATGAAGACAATTTAGTAAAACATGAACAAGAAATAGAGATAGAGAGAAAGGAAGAGATTTTCTTCTTCAATTGTGTGTATTTTCCTATCTATTACACGGCCTTTATATAGGCATAAAAAGTGAAGAAAATATGTCATGGAATATGTCATTGAACATACAAAATATGTCATTGAATATGTCATTAAGCATTTGAGATGAAAAATCATGGAAGAAGAGTAGACATACATCATAATGTGATATTTATCATAACACTCCCCCTTGGATGTCCATAGATAATGTGCCTCGTTAAAACATTACTAAAAAACTCTGTAGGGAAAAAATCTTAGTGAAGGAAAATGAGTACACATATCTGTAATATGCTTTATTTGCTGCCTCGTTTAAAACCTTACCAGTAAAAATCAGTGGGACAAAACCTAGGCTAAGGGAAAAAGAGTACATCGCGTATCTTACTCCCCCTCATGAAAACATCACTTTATTTCTCGAAGATGGCGTATTCCAATCTTCTGTCTCAACTTGTCAAATGTTGAGGTTGGTAATGCCTTAGTGAACAGATCAGCCAAATTTTCACATGAACGAATCTGTTGAACACTAATTTCACCATTTTGTTGAAAATCATGCGTAAAAAAGAACTTTGGTGAAATGTGTTTTGTCCTATCTCCTTTTATGAATCCTCCCTTCAATTGGGCTATGCATGCTGCATTGTCTTCATACAAAATTGTGGGTAGTTTGTCACACTTCAAACCACATTTGTCTTGGATAAGATGTATTATAGACCTCAACCAAATACATTCTCGACTTGCTTCATGAATAGCAATTATCTCGGCATGATTAGAAGAAGTAGCCACGATTGATTGCTTAGTCGATCGCCAAGATGTGGCAGTGCCGCCACATGTAAACACATAACCTGTTTGAGATCGAACCTTATGCGGATCAGATAAATACCCAGCATCGGCATAACCAACAAGATCAGGACTGCAATTATTGCCATAAAATAAGCCCATATCGGTAGTCCCTTTTAGATATCGCAATATGTGTTTGATCCCATTCCAGTGTCTCCTTGTAGGAGCAGAGCTATATCTTGCTAAGACATTAACCGAAAAACTTATGTCATGCCTTGTAGTGTTAGCAATATATATTAGTGCACCAATTGCACTAAGATATGGTACTTCAAGACCAAGAAGCTCTTCATTCTTTTCTTGAGGTCGGAACGGATCCTTATTCACATCAAGTGATCGAACAACCATCGGAGTACTTAATGGATGTGCTCCATCCATGTAAAACCGTTTCAATACCTTTTCTATGTAGGCAGATTGATGAACAAAAATTCCGTTTGCCAAATGTTCAATTTGCAAACCGAGACATAATTTTGTCTTTCCGAGATCTTTCATCTCGAATTCCTTCTTTAAACATTCTACGGCTTTGGGAAGCTCTTTAGAAGTGCCAATGATATTCAACATATACAGCTATGATGACAAATTCAGATCCAGACCTCTTAATAAAGACACAAGGGCAAATAGGGTCATTTTTGTACCCTTGGTTTAGCAAATACTCGCTAAGGCGATTGTACCACATCCTCCCTGATTGCTTCAATCCGTATAAGGATTTCTGAAGTTTTATTGAACAAGTTTCTCTTGAACTTTTATATGCTTCAGGAACTTTAAATCCTTCAGGTATTTTCATAAAAATCTCATTGTCTAGTGAGCCATATAAGTAGGCTGTGACAACGTCCATCAACCTCATATCAAGTTTTTCATGGACTGCCAAATTTATTAAATACCTGAAGGTAATTGCATCTACCACAGGAGAATGTGTCTCTATATAATCAATGTCAAGCCTTTGGGAAAACCCTTGTGCCACAAGTCATGTTTTATGACTTATGATTTCACCTTTTTCATTTTGTTTTCGAACAGAAACCCATTTGTACCCCACTGGCTTGACAGGTGTTTGGACTATTGGTCCAAAAACTTCATGTTTTTCGAGTGAAGCCAATTCCACTTGAATTGCATCTTTCCATTTTGGCCAGTCATTTCCCCGTCTACATTTATCGATAGATTTTGACTCAAGATACCCATCTTGTTGCATTACTTCAACTGCAACATTATATGCAAAATTGTTGTCAATAATAACATTATTTCGGTTTCACATTTTTCCCGTAGAGACATAACTTATTGAGATCTCTTCATTTTCATCATTTCCAGGTACTAGAACCTCCTGTGAGGTCTTATCAATTATTATGTCTTTATGCTCCTCTTGAGCAATTGCCTCTATGTTATGATCAACTTGATCATTCGCTCCTTTCCTCTTTCAGGGGTTCTTATCCTTGGAACCGATTGGTCTACCACGTTTAAGGCGTGGCCTAGACTCTTTTTCATTATCATACTGTCCAGCTGAGACATCAATTCGAATTGGAGCATTTACAGCTGGAATATGCGATTTAGTAACCCGTGGAAGGTTAGTAAATGCATCTGGCAATTGATTTGCAACATTTTGCATATAAATGATCTTTTGAACTTCTCGTTCACATTGATTTGTACGAGGATCCAAATGAGATAAAGATAATATGTTCCAATCTATCATTTTTTCACCTGTTTATTTTCTCCCCCTAATGTTGGAAAAACTGATTCATCAAAATGACAATCAACAAATCTGGCTGTAAACAAATCTCCTTTCATAGGCTCCAGATATTTAATAATAGAAGGAGATTCATAATCTACATATACTCCCAACCTTCTTTGGAGGCCCATCTTTGTGCGTTGTGGTGGAGCAATTGAAACATATACCGCACATCCAAAAATTCTTAGATGAGAAATATTTGGCTCCTGACCAAAAACCAACTGTAATGGGGAGACTTCATGATAACTGGTTGGCCTTATGCGCACAAGTGTTGTTGCATGCAAAATAGCATGTCCCCACACTGAAAGGGGAAGTTTTGTCCTCATTAGTAATGATCTAGCTATTAATTGGAGGCGTTTAATCAATGATTCTGCTAGACCATTTTGAGTATGAACATGAGCAACCGAATGCTCAACTTTTATTCCAGTGGCCATACAATAATCAGTAAAGACTTGAGATGTAAATTCACCAGCATTATCAAGACGAATTGTTTTAATTGCATAATCTGGAAATTGTGCTCTTAATCTTATTATTTGGTCCAACAATCTCGCAAATGCCATGTTACGAGTTGACAATGAGCACACATGTGACCATCTTGTAGATGCGTCTATCAAGACCATAAAATACTTGAATGGTCCATATGGAGGGTGTATAGGCCCACATATATCACCATGTATACGTTCCAGAAATGTAGGGGATTCAATCCCAGTTTTAGCTGTTGATGGTTTAATAACCAATTTTCCTTGAGAGCAAGCAACACAGGAGAATTCCTTAAATTGAAGAATCTTCTTGTTCTTCAATGTGTGTCCATTTGAATTCTCTATTATTCTGCGCATCATGTTAGAACTGGGATGGCCCAACCGGTCATGCCAAATGATAAAATCATTAGAAGTAGTAAACTTTTTGTTTACTATGGCATGTGATTCAACCACACCAATGTTTGTGTGGTACAACCCAGAAGAAAATGCGGGTAATTTTTCATGCACATATCTTTTATCCGCTTTCATTGTAGTAATATAAAGGTATTCAACCTTTCCTTCGTTTGATGTCTCAACATGGTAGCCATTTTGGCGAATAGCTTTGAAACTCAACAAGTTTCTTTGAGACTTACTACAATACAATGCATTATCAATAGTTAATATCGTTCATTCGAGTAATAATAAGGCCACTCTTTCGGAGCCCTCAATCAACTTTGTACTACCGGATATTGTATTAACATAGGCCTTTTTCATAACCAAATAAGAGAAAAATTTCTTTTCTCTTAATATTGTGTGAGTTGTAGCACTATCCAAAAGACATAAATCTTCATTACTCATCTTGGATCCAATTGAAGACTGGGGAATTTTAATTTCTTCATAAAAAAAAATAAAAGTACATAATGAGAAATATGGAAAACAAACATCTCCAACAACAACATAAGACAACTTAAGTACTACTTAAAAATAAAAACAACTTTAGATGAGATAAAAACACTAAAAATAACAACATAATTGCATTCCCTAATAAAATGATCAAACTTTAGTTTTGATCTCCAAATGAATCTTCAACTTCCAAATGAATAAGATCATCGAGGCCTTGAAAATCATCATCTTTCAAAGCAAGATTTGCCTCGGCATTGTCATCATTTTCGTTTGAAGACCCTGCCTCAAAATCATTTTTAAAGGTCAAGTGTAACTCCACTGGGGCATTAGCAGAAGATGCTCCAACATTATTTGTCTTTCTTTTGATGGAGTTTTTGATAAAGCCTGACAAAATGCTCAGGTGCACGACATTCAATTTTCCAATGACCTTCCATGCCACAGCGGTGGCAGTTACCACTTTTGCCTCTTGAAGGATTGTTTTGAGAACCCATATTATTCTCTCGTTTTCCATGACCACCACGATGACTACTATCATGTCGCCTCTTACCATTGCCATACCCACGTACATTCATATGACCATGATTATTTTTCTGTCTTTTTCCAGACTTATCACGTTTAGCTGCCATATTTGCTTCAGGAAGCGGAGCTGACCCTGTGGGACGAGCTTCATGATTTTTCAGTAAAATGGTGTTATGTTGCTCAGCCACCAGAAGGCATGCGATCAATTCAGAATACTTTTTAAAACCCCTTTCACGGTATTGCTGTTGTAATACCATATTTGAGGCATGGAAAGTTGTAAGAGTTTTTTCCAGCAAATCCTCATCATTCATAACTTCCCCACATAATTTCAATTGGGAAGTTATTCGAAATACAGCAGAGTTATACTCACTTACGGTTTTAAAATCTTGCAATCGTAAGTGCATCCACTCATATCGAGCCCTTGGCAATACCGTAGCCTTAAGGTGATCATACCTTTCCTTCAGGCCAGTCCACAATTCAAGTGGATTTTTCACTGTTAAATATTCAACCTTCAAACCTTCATCCAAATGATGACGAAGGAAAATCATGGCCTTCGCCTTGTCCTGGCTTTATGCCTCATTACCCTGAGTAATGGTGTTACCAAGGCCTTTAGCGGCTAAGTGAATCTCAGCATCGAGAACCCATGAAAGGTAATTCTTTCCAGAAATGTCAAATGCCACAAACTCAAGCTTTGACAAATTTGACATAGTAAAAACTATCAAAGAAAATAAATGAATTAGAAATGATTAAGATGATAGTGAAAATAAATAAATGGATATAAACATTATGAATATTTAAATTGTGTTGCCATATAAAACATATAGTGATAATGATAATATTAATTTATTTATTAGTACTTATGCAGATTTAAAAATGAAAGGTTACGTATTATATCAAACAACAAATTCTATAAATGAAGACAAAATATACATAATAATATAGGTTTAAGGTGATGGATTTTAATGCCAATAACTAGCAATTTATCATGTTTGCCACAGTGTAGTGTGATTCATATTGATTCGTAATGATCACTTGTCATGATAACAATTTGACTTAATTCATACAATACAATACCACTAGAATGACAAGAAGAGAAAAAGAAATGTAAAAGATAACCTGTTATACCTTTCGGTTGAAGAATTGCACTTAACTTTCGACAAGGCTAGAGTCGTGCTAATAACGTGTTATGAAATAAAAGCAATTTAGTAAAACATGAACAAGAAATGAAGACAATTTAGTAAAACATGAACAAGAAATAGAGATAGAGAGAAAGGAAGAGTTTTTCTTCTTCAATTATGTGTATTTTCCTATTTATTACAAGGTCTTTATATAGGCATAAAAAACAAAGAAAATATGTTATAAAATATGTCATTGAACCTATAAAATATGTCATTAAACATTTGAGACAAAAATCAAAGAAGAAGAGTAGACATCCCTCATAACTTGATATTTATCCTAACAAATATCACGTTCTTGCTTATTTTGAACTGAAGTCAATTGCTTTACTTCTTACTAATCATCAATTGCTTCTAATTTTCACACTATACATGCCACTATTAGATTTTCTTATTTAAACTTCAGTATTCTACTCTTGGATTAAACCCATTTCAGTTTCAGGTCAGTACATTTCGTGGAGTTGATATCTGTGTTTTTGTCAATACAGAAGCTGGTGTTTGGTAATTTTCCGTTTCTGATCACACCCAATTGAATTTTTGTTTTTTTCCCTTTTAAACCTTTTTTTAATCAGTTTTAGAACTTCCACTGATCTTGTAGTTGTTCCGTTGAGTGTTCATATATGGTTACATTCCTTCTAGGTGTTCTGCTTCTTGTTAATTTTCCATTTCTATCATACCCACATTGAGTTTTCGTCTGTGTGTGTGTGTGTGTTAATGTTCTTTTTGTTAATGTTCTAATTTGAATACATCCACTTTGTGATTTTGCTTTTTTTTTTTTTGATTCACTTATTATTTTGTCTGTTTTGTATATTCTGATTAAGTTCTAATGGATATATTCATATCCGTTGATATTTCTTCAAAGTGTTCATTTATTGGGGTTCATGTCTGTTAATCTTTTTTTGCCAACTCAGAAGCTGGTTTTTGTTTCAATTTGTTCTCACACCCACATTTGGTTTTCGCCTATTTCTCTAAAAATGACAGTCCGGTTCACGAAACATACTGCATTCTGTGGCTCGAACCCTGATGCAAGCATCAATGGCTAATTCCACGGCTCGAACCCGTGACCTATAACTTTACTGGCTCCCCTTCTTTCGCCTATTTCTGTGTTTCATTTTTCTCAAGTTTAAACCTTCTGATTGAGTTCAAATATGTCTTTTGTTTGTGTTGGGTGGGTTAGTGGACTTAAGGAAGTTTCAAGTTTCATCAATATGATATTGGATTGAGCTAGTTAGGCTTCTAATAATGACAATGGTAATAGATAGTTTCATGAAAATTCCCTTTCATCAATTTTGCCAAAAATGGAAGTGCTATTTAGCTAGTATTATTCTTAAATGTTGGTGGGCTTGGTAAGTTGATGAGCATATTCATTACAAGTTCCTATTGTTAGATCACATGTAGCTGTTTTTCAGCTTGTCATTTTTAAGTTTTTGTAGTACCCCTGTTTTACATATTTATTGCAAAGAAGGATTCATTTGTATGATACATGTCCTACGTTGAGTTTTTAGAAGAAATGACTTATTTTTTATGTCTTGTATCTTATTTTCTTAATTCTCCCGTCTGTTCATTGGTGAATGATGCAGCCATAAGGTGGATGCGATGAAAGTGTTCATCATATTACTGTCAATTTTGGCGGTTCTGGTTGCTCTTCAAGGTGTAACTTCTCATGAAGATCACCCGCTTGCAAGGATTGCTGTTCATAAGGCTATCTCCGCTTTGGACGCTGGTGCTTATATCAAAGCAACTCCTTCTGTTCTTGGGTCAAACGTAAACTTCATTACCTAGCAACTATATCTCAGTACTTACTTAAGCTAACTATACTTCCAGCTACCTTGTGTTAAGCTTCCTAATTATCTCTGTTCAAGAATTTGAATTGACGTGCTAGCCAATTTTCAAACTGATATGGATTTCAGGTTTTGATGTGTATCTCTCTATGTTCTAGGGTCTAAACCAAGAATGGATAACTCTGGAGTTTGGCGCAGGCAACCCGTCAAATGACGATTGGGTTGGAGTATTTTCTCCTGCCAATTTCAGGTGCACGAAACTTGGTTGTTAAACTGTCAAGGACTTATTCATATATCTAAATTCTAAAATAGTAATGCTCTATTTGAAAATTTTAAGATGTGATAAATGATTTTCTTTTGCTGAATTTAGTTACATAATTTTTCATTACGTTAAGCTAATGTGATGAACGTTTGCAAAATATTTCAGTGCAGCTATTTGTGACCCTGAAAATAACATGGTGACTCCACCACTTTTGTGTACAGCTCCTATAAAGGTCGGTTCCGTTTATAGAATTATAGTACAAGCTTTTAGAAACTCTTTTTTTTCTGGAGATTGACTCCTGCCTCGCTTCTTTTACAGTATCAATTTGCAAATCACTCCAATCCCAATTACAAAAGAACAGGAAAAGGATCATTAAAGCTTCAATTGATCAAACAGAGATCAGATTTCTCTTTTGCACTGTTTTCCGGTGGATTACGAAATGTATGTTTCTACTTACCCTTACCTTATCTGCTTCTATAGAGTTTGCAAATTTTACATGAATCAAACAGAGTCCAACTTTTAAGATCCGGGAGATTTGCAAGAGGAGACCTGACTTGTTTTTAATTTGGTGAAAATCCTTGATTTCTTACTTTTTGGCTGGTTATATTTTATTGTTTTGTCTGCCTTTTTAATCCGTATCTATGAAGATACTTTCCACACTCTGATCATGCTACATGAACGAGCACTTGTAGGTGATGGCTAAAGTTCTGGTATATTTGTCGCTTTTACGCATCTGATAAAGGCTAGAATTGCGTATCTGAGTTGATGTCAGCTTATCTAATTCATTTCTTTCCCTGTTTAACAGCCAAAACTGGTTGCAATGTCAAATACTGTTGCCTTTGCAAATCCAAATGCACCAGTATACCCGCGGTTAGCACAGGGAAAGACGTGGAATGAAGTAAGTTGGTTTCTTCCACTGTAGCTTAATATGTTAAACAAAGTTGAAAATATGTTTCAGGCAGATTAATTGATGTGTTTTGCAGCATGACTAATAGTTTGAATTAGGACCACTTATGGAATATCAGAAAAATGACATAGTTTAGAATTGATGCTCAGATGACTGTTACATGGACTAGTGGATATGATATCAATGAAGCAGAGCCCTTTGTGGAGTGGGGTCGGCAAGGAGGACAACAGACTCGTTCGCCAGCAGGGACTTTGACTATCGACCGTAGTAGCTTATGTGGTGGGTATTTTCTTCCTTCACGTTGGCACCGANCCGTAGTAGCTTATGTGGTGGGTATTTTCTCCCTTCACGTTGGCACCGAAAACTAACATCTTTGTTACATATAATGCGCATGTTGGAAACTTGATTGGATACAAGGGTTGTGTAGCAATTCTGTGTGAAATACATCTAGTTTGCATGACAACTACTTGATGAATGACATTCTATTCTGCATTACCTTATATTTCTTTTTCCCCCCTACGAATGGCTTTTTATTCCGCAGGTGCACCAGCAAGAACTGTTGGATGGCGCGATCCTGGATTCATTCACACTAGCTTTCTGAAGGAGTTGTGGCCCAATTCAGTGTAGGTTTATGCTCTTCCTAGCAGCCGAAAGACAACAATCTAATCTTTCAAAAGATTTCATGTTTTATTGAAGGGGAGCCTTGGCGTAACCGGTAAAGTTGTTGTCATGTGACCAGGAGGTCACGGGTTTGAGCCGTGGAAACAACCTCTTGTAGAAATGCAGGGTAAGGCTGCGTACAAAAGACCTTTGTGGTCCGGCTCTTCCCCGAACACCGCGCATAGCGGGAGCTCTTAGTGCACTGGGCTGCCCTTTATTGGGTATCCTTTTTTGAAGATGTTAGATAACTTTGAAATCTTCTTCTTTCCCCCTAAAATCGAATACCAGAATTACATCTCCATGCTAATGCAGGTTAATATTTGAAGTGAACTTTCAATGCACTTTCTGAGTTTGCAGATATACCTACAAGCTGGGGCATAAACTGTTTAATGGCACATATATCTGGAGTCAGATGTACAAATTTAAATCATCGCCCTATCCTGGTCAAAACTCTCTTCAGCGAGTAGTCATTTTTGGCGACATGGGAAAGGTTAAAGTTTATTTATCTGTCCATAAATATTTATACTTCAATTTCTTGACAGTCCCAGTTTCCAAAAACCTTAGAAACTCTGTTCCTCTCCAAGTAAGGAAATTGCTCGCATTTGAGTTTCCTGTCTTTCCATTCAGAAGTGGATTATGTAACAATCACGTTCATACCTGAATTTTTTTGCATTCTACTGTTCCATTAGCAGTGATTGTGGAAGGCTATATCTGAATTCTGCCATTGCTAAATATCTACTGTTCAAAAGTTACACTTGGCAAAGACCGATAATTGCCTTTTGAACTACAGGAAGAAGCTGATGGCTCCAATGTGTACAATCAATACCAACCTGGCTCCCTCAACACTACCAAGCAAATCGTTGACGACTTGAAGAACATTGATATAGTCTTTCACATCGGGGATATCGTTTACGCCAATGGA